CATATTTCACCTTGTAGATGTTTATTACTTTTATTTTTTTTTTCTGTTAATAAGTTGTTAGCTTTATGCTGGTGTAGATTCTCAGTCAGGACATGAGAAACAAACAAAAGAAGTTAAAAAAAAACATAATACTAGACTTCTATTGTGTTTTGCTTCGGGAGACTTTATCTGGCAGGTCTATAAAGCTCAGCAACTCCACACATCTAGACATTTATTTATTTTTTTAATTGCTAAAGTCTCCTGGATGGGAAACAAAACATTTTYAGCCACAGAACAGAAGTCCAGTTATTTCTTTTGTTTTCCAGGGCTCAGCTGATTCCTACACAAGCCGACCGTCTGACTCGGATGTGTCCCTGGAGGAGGAGAAGGAGGGCGGCCGGCAGGAGAGGGAGCAGCAGGCCACGGTTCAGCTGGAGAGGGCAAAGGTTACTTTCACTCACAGATATTAACTGAACGGCACATCTCATGCACACCGAGGCTACACAATCTACACCGAGGACACACAATCTATGGTCACGAGCAGAATAAAAGGAGAATTCACATTTGTTGAGTTTTTCACAGCTACACAAAAAACAGATGTGTTGGATTTACTTAACCAAGTTATGTCAACAGTTTCTACTCAGCTGAGTTGAGTAGAGCTAAATTAACTTTCACATTTTCTTTAAAAACATTGACATAACTTGGTTAAGTTCATCCAACAATCTGATTGTTTGAGTGTACAGGTTTCTACAGTCTTCAAAAGGAAAGTCTGCGCTTGTCAGTGTGCATTGCCTATTGTGATTCGTTTCCCATCCAAGTCATCTCAACTTTGCCATGCTTCTCCTCCGGCATACTTTGTCCTAGAGCTGCCATTGTAATTTATATCTGTAAAGCCCCTGTGCCAAATGATGGCTATGGCTTTTGGTGCCTGTAAAACGTATAGTTTTTGAAATATTAATGTTTAATCAATTATAATGGCAGTCAATGGAGCCTTGTATTGGTCCAATACTGCCCCCTGCTGCCTCTACACAATATGGTACTGTACCATAGTTTCATAATATTTAAACTCAGTAGTTCAGTGATTACAATATTAATATGATTGTATTTTGATGTTTTACTGTAATACTGTCTTTATGTTGTCATATTGTACTTAAGTGTCAATAATTGCATTGGCAAGGTAAACATTTTCTGTATACATAC